CCTGTCTCAGTGGAATGGCCATTGGTGTATCCCAAGGGTTTTGACAGTTTGTATTTGGTGTGTCAATACAAAACTGCAGTCATTTATGACAAAAATTAGCTTAAATTTCAGGTTTAGTAAACTGAATGAATATGTGCATAGTGAAATGATTGGTAAGACAGTTTTAGATTATTTTAGTCATTTGTCTTTGTTTTTATGGTTGTCATGATTGTTGGCAACACATGTAGTACATGGTCTACATAAGAGCTCTATTGAACCAAATTACATGAACTTTTCAAGAAGGATCACTGGTTATGATATTGATCAGAATTATGTCGGTACTGAAGAATTATCTGTAATCTTTTGTGCAGGGAATTAGTTTTATCGAACAATTAATTAATAGTAGTTCTCTTAATGCCTTTTTTTTTCAGAAATAAAAAGTGCATTTTTCATACAGTGCATTTGTTTGAAGGCTACTAGTACACAGATGAATATGTTAACATTGGATATGTTGTTACCCATGCCATAATTATAAGTTGTGAAAAGGTATATTATAAAAATATGTAGGCATTTGCATTATCTTTTTAAAAAAATCTCTTCACCTGCAATTTTCTAGATCTATTCATTATTGATTGATGTGTTAGTTGTGCTCTGTTTCTCAACCGAACACAATTGCGTATACTGCCCAGGAAATCAGAGAGAAAAAGATGCAGCATGCCAAGTTTATTAATTGCTGCTTATGGCAATTCTTGCATGTAGATCAGTTAATTATAATGTTAGTTTAAAATATGCTGCACTTACACAGAAATTTCGATAAAATATATTTCTTTTTCCTAATGCTGGAGGGAATACATGCATTGCAATTTTAGGCCATAACCTTATATTGGGTTCAGATTTCACTTCAGTGGAATAATTTTAGTACTAAAAATTTTAACGTGTGTGAGCTATGCATTTGTATTTTGTTTTCACTTGATTTAGGTGAGGTATTTAGGTTAACATGTCTGAAAACTGGATTCAAAGGTCATTTCTGCATTTAAAAATAGTAATAGCCCTCAAACAAGTCCTGTTGACATAGAAACAAGAATAATAATTCAGAATGTAACGGAAATTATAAATTGTGTATTATTCAGTAGCAAATAAGACAAATAATGATTTTTGTCCATTGTCCTCGGCCAGCAGTGGTATATGCCCTTTATGTTATCATTGCCTCCTCGCTAACTTGATTAAATTTCATGAAATAATGACCCATCAAAGCAGTCATATTTAGAAATCTTAACACTGCAAATATTCTGTAAAGCATGCTAGAGTACACGCTTTCAGCTGGCTGTTTTTGTGGGCTAAGAGCCCCCCCATTGAAACCAAACCCTGAATAGTAAAAGAAAACATGCTCCCATAAGTATTTATATTCACCATAATTCAACAGTCTGAATAACCTTAAGACGCACTTCAATGGTGAATGGCACGTGGTGTTTCTATGTTTTAAGAGGTAATGTTGTAGCTCAGTGTAGTAGAGGGTCATGCAATCACCGCTAAATGTGCATTTAAATGAAAACCTTTGGCGTCATGGTGCGGAGAGCACAGTCCATTGGGTCGTAGCTACCTGTGAGACCACTTCAGTAGGAGATTAGGGACACTTAAAAAGAATTGTGTCTTGAAAGAGAAATGTTGAAAATCTAAAGGATTAACAAGTCTTTTACCAAGGGCGTCTAGGAGGAGTTGGTTTGGTTGAGGGAGATGAGAAGAAAATATTCTTTGACAGGCTTGTGTTTGTCGTAATATATGGGTGTTTTGTGAACCAAAGAAAATAGTTTGAGGAAAGCTTTAGGATCTGTCACATTTGTAGTGAAAACTGCGACTTGTATCCAGGGAAACTGACAGACTGGATAGCTACTTCAAAACAAGGACGATTTTCAGGATGGTGTATTCCCATGGCATAGACCTACAAGGCTTATGTTTTGGTTATATTAACCAAAGTAAATAGGAATACTGGGAGACTAGATTTGTTTTGAATATTTGAGATAAAAGATATTGAAGTATTATCCCTTTGAACTGTTTCATCCAAAGGATCACATATAATCTTACACAGAAAATCGCAGGCTTTGAATGGAATGTTTTTTTACAGTGGAGTAATACCGGTATATGATGCTATAGTTATTGCACGTCCTTGGACCAACTGAAAGCAAGGCTATAAATTACCTTTGAACTGTTACACTTTGACGGCTATAGTGTATCAGTATCAGTAGTGACATTCCAGTCACACTTGAAACTGGCTTTTATAAAGCAGTGGAAGGTGAAAAACCTGATATATTCCCATTGTGTCTGGTACATTAAACACCAAGCAAAACAGTGGCTGACAGCAGAAAGAGTAGGACCATGCCCGCATTACTTCTCTCCCGTCAGGGATCAGGAAGAACTGATGCTTCTTTACATCTACGAAATAAGGTACTTCGCCAGATTTATGGAGCTTGTGAAATAACTTTGTTGGCTGATGATGTGGAACCAGTTCGATCATATGGTGGAAGACCAACTTCCTCCGGGTCTTCTTTAGGAAGAGGTGTGTTTACACCAAGATTTGGAATTGGACCACGGTATGGCACATGTTATGTGATATGAGTATTTTTGTCCTTTAGTTTTTACATTTTAGTTAATTATCATATTTGTCACTTGTTGCCGGCTTTATCAGAATTGATGATTTCATATTTAAATGTTATCAAGGGGTTGATCAATCACTACTTTGATATCATATTAAGAAAATGACAATTCTAAAGTGAAGTGTGTGTATATGCAGGTATTTTCAGCTGTAAACTTTAGGAACAGAAAGACAGTTTTAAGTTTAAATAACAAAGTTTTTATTTACCAGTATGAGGACATGAAAATGCCTTATCTTCAAGATAAAGTTATTTTTTAAGTGTTCAAGCAATTCGCATTTTGGTGACCCCATTCCATGTTTAAGCTTTTGAGGCTTTTTTTCAATTCAGAAAGATGTTTTCTTTAAAAATATTTGTGTGCTTTCAAGAAAACTTTTTTGTTTGCTGTTTCTTTAACTCACTAACCCTGTGTAAATGGCTTTTTCAGTGCTTAGTTCCAGTAGTTAACCCCCTGACACTATGAACAAAGAACATAACCATAACCAATTAAAGCAGTCCATATACTTTAAAAGAGTAAGTTTGAATTTGGCTACAAGAGGTTTTATGTTGCACGTTGTTGGGAGAAAAAAAAAACTTCTCTATTTTTAACAAGTTTAAATACAGGTTTCCAGGGCTGTTATTACTTTGGAGCATAAAGCCAGTATCAAGCACAACACATAACAGTTCTTTACATTCTACTACCACATTGAAACATGACATTTGGCCTTCACGATCAACCAAAGGTCTTTTGGTAAAGTTCTATTGATTAGCACAGGCTTTTCTTTTGTCTGACTGAAGCTGTTTACTGCATTATAAATTTGTGCCATGTCAAAGTACAATTGTACCACCAAGGCTGTTTCTAATAGCTGTACTGATGTCAACAACTTTGCCAGGACTCTGTTGATCTGTAGATCCGATTTCTGATCAGCAATAACCATGTGATTGTGTTTTAATATTGGAATGTGTTTTTTGATTCGTAATGGGTCAACACTGCAGTGTAACGTCACCACTGCAGCAATCTGGTTTGACTGCTGGCTTTGGAGGAAAATCTTCTAAGGGCCAACACAAGGCAACTCCACAAATTAAGCTGGAATCCATGTCTCTTGTTAGTTATGATATAAGGTATGGTTAGTACATGTATCTGTTGTGGTAATTTTGTTGTTATGCAAAAATTTGGTTCAGTAGTGAAATACATTTGGTGCTTGCACAATATGTACAGTGAACAGGTGTCAGTCAGTGGTAAGTTAGAGATGAAATATGTCTCTTGATTCTTAGGTTTTGTAGAAGGAATAATATAGTTTTGTATAAGAATTAAGAGTCAGAATAACTAGTTATTAACAATTTCACTTTTTTTTGGAAAAATAATGAAAACTTTCCATTATGATATAAGATATTAAATTAAATGTTGATAGAATTGGTTATATCGGAATTAGTCTCAGTTCAGAATTAACAGGGCATTGTATTTTGCACTATGCTTGTACATTTAAATCAATACAGTTTGACCTGTATTTGAACATTGTATATTCAAGTGCTATGTTATATAACAACTGGTACTGCATCCCACAATACCCTGCAGTTTTCCAGACAACCACCAGATGGCACTAGGGGTACTAATAGCCCCAACCTGAATGTGCTTTTCAAAGACGTGTGCAATTTGCCTTTGCACATTCACTATTTGCACAATGTTGTTTCTAAAAACTGTCCTTTTGATATGAAAAATAACCTTCCACACATATTGATCCTACCACGTGTACATAGACCTCTCGTCTTTCATTTAACCCACAATGTCTGCTAAACGCTGCTTTTAAAGAAATTGTATTTACTGTATCCATTGAGGTGTTTACTCAGTGGCAGCACTTGAGCGATAAATAGGGGGACTTACTTGATATGCAGGACACAGCGCGGGTTGTGTGTGCGGAGGGCAGGGTTACTTCAGACATGTTAAGACATCCTATAGCCAATCATCTCAGCAGTGAGGCTCTAATCTTTGCTTTGGTATCTGATTATTTCAAGTATTTACCATAGAGGATTATCTAGGATGCAGAAACCAAAGCATATCAACCAGCAGTGCCCTTGGTTGTTCCCGGTTCGTTTGAAACCACTATGGCCGGGTGTACAGTTAACGATGAGTGTGTAAGTCAACTTGGAGATGAAATGTGTCGTTGTTTGTGTTTTGTGGAGTAAGGAAATGGGCATTGTAAGTAGATGTTAGTCGGTGATGTTCATGCTCAGGAATGTTTTGAAAATGCCAAAACATATCATACTACGTTGTCCGTGGTTATTTCAAGTGCGTACCCATGTGCCTCAAAGACGTAGAGAACGGTTCCAAACTTACATGTAAGTCTGCATAGAAGAACTTTTTATTATTTCTTTTTCTAAAAGTCTTTTTTTTTTTTTTTTTTTTTTTGCTAATCATGTTTTAATATTCCTAAAGATCAGCTTTTAAATCCAATTGATAAGTCCACAAAAACTACTTTGAAGCTGAATATTTTTTGAAAGCAATGGTTCTTTGTACCTGTCAGTTGTGAACTATGTTGTGACAACACACAGCTCTTGGAGATATAAGTCAAATAAAATTTTGACAGAGAATTGGAAAATCACATATGTATTTCACCTTTGCTACACCTGTTATGAAGCACAAGTAACTTTTTATCAAATTATGTAAATGTTACATTATGAAGTAAATAATTCTTCATAAGTTTATTGATCAGAGGAAGATCCTTTTATCATAAATCACACATGTTGCTTATGGTGCCTTAATCAATGTATCCCGAATTAGCCTGCTGAACCTCATTTTTTCCTTTGTATTGTGCCTACAACCTCCAGTGAATATTTTATAAGACTATCGATTTTAGCACCAAATCTTTAATTTGTTTGACTTTTCTTACTCTCTTCATGGATTAAAACAGGTGTACAATCAGTAGACAGAATGTTTATTAGTTCTTCTAAGATGTGGTGTAGACAAATCCTACCACCAGATGTTAGGCCTATAGCAGTGAAAGTGAATCTTATCCCTAGTGAAAGGAGACAAAATTCAGCTGAGAACAAACTTATAAAAGTAAACTTCATACAGTCTCCTGTGAAGTCAGCTCGTTGGTAAGGGCTTTCAGAATATTGTCTAAGTCTGTGAGGTGTTTATGTACAGTATAAATCTTCATGTGTGTTGAAATTATTAATGTCGGAAATATCAGCTTGTTTTGTGTACAGAGTGATTTAAGTATGAAAAGGAAATGTCAGTTTTCAAAGGCATTTGTGTTTGTGTTATATATTACTAGGTCAATGTTGGTAGAGATTGGTAGCAATAACAGATAGAGACTAGTATATGGTGCCTTTTGACAGGCTTGACATTCGTTACAAAGGCATCCAGTGAACAAGTTCTTTTTTATATGATTACCATTTTTTAATGAATTTTTCATTACTCTGCTGCACTCCATGGCCTTTGTTCATTTCCTGTCCCAGCTTGTACATGATAAAGTGATAAGAATTTAACTCATTATATTTCACTTGAAAAAAAATCCAGTAAAGGCTGGGAAAGTGTCTAGACATCTTCTGTCCATGTGGTTACAATTTTTATATCAATAACAAATTCAGAAGCTAGATCCCAAGATATGCATTTACTGCAACTTCTACTATACATGTGTATGTGAAATCAATTATTTACAGCAGTGGAAAAAACTTCTTTGATTTTGCCACACTGTATAAATTGATTTGTTCATGTTTTTCATGTTCTATTAATAGAGAAAACGTATTTTCAACCATTTTTTTTCTTTTTTGTACTGTAGATAGGAGTTTTAACATGCTTTGAAATATGGAGCGGCTTGTTTGTTCTCACAATTTTTCATTTCTAGCATTGGTCAACACTCTCCGAAGTAATTCCCACTGAATAGTTACATACTGTAAGTAACATGACAACATTAAATTCTGTCATTCTCTTCTTTTCCTTTACAGTTCTACAAGCACCCCTCCAGTGCCGTTTTCCTCCACAGATCTGCTCAGCTCATACTCCAAAGATCCCAACCTAAGGCATCATAACCACCACCTCCATCATCACCACCACCATCAGCACCATCATCATCATCTTCCTCCAGATGAACTGCGCAGGAATTCCCAGCTTTCAGATCTGGGGGACAGGGACGGGTTACGCTCTAGTCATGATGGAAGGCAGGATGGTCAAGACAGTAGGGAGTTCATGGAAAATAGTAATAGTAGAAGTGGCTCAAGGAAAGGGACTATGTCAGACCGAGGTAAGACATGACTCGTGTTCAACTGTAATTGGTTGAAATGATTGATTTTGCTGGATTCTTGTCTAATTTAGTAAAACCAAAATAGCTTTGTAATAAACCCATATAAAATGTATTATGAATCAACTCGGGCTGTATTTCCACCATTGCATTGGTAGTACTTTATACCACTTAAATTTGCTTCCATTTTGTATTAAGTTTGAATTTTTTTTGTAAGTAACTTGTCTAGGATCTAGGCCTGGTTTTGCTTTCATGCTGGCTTCTTTAATTTTGTGGATGCTGAAAAAGTATTTTAATAAGGTCCACCTAGGTGCTGGGAGAAGTAAATATCCCCTTTTGTTTGGGAATTTTGACACCTGAAGCAATTTCTTGTGCAATTCGATCTTTATATTAGTGTAGCATTGTTCAAGGTATTTTACATTTTCCTCTATTGAGATAGTCAAATATATAGTTTCTATAGCATTTTGTTGTAGTGAGGCAAAGCTTTGGTTGTTTAAAATACCTGTATGCCTTTACAAATTGATCGATATTAGGTGACCTGTGTTCCCTCCTAAGATGTAAAACAGTTTTATTTTATTCTTCTAATAAGAAGTCACTATGAAATGTTTTTGTTGTGTTAACTTTAAAAACCAAATAACAAGTCTCATTTATGTGAGAGGCAGTGTGGTGTTATTACTGTGAACCTAGATAAATAAGAGTATCTAACTTTTATGGGAAAAAATATGTACAACATTTGACGAAGCCTAAGATCAATGTGATCTATATGCAACCTATTTAAACTGATAGTAAGTCAATGTTTGCTGTGGTCACAGTCTAAAATGACTTCCATACTTAATGCTTGAAGAGCTTAAAATGTTTGTCATGGACATTGGTATTTAGAATTGCTGCAGGGAATCTATACTGTAGAATAATATTGTGTTCAATCAAGAGTCACTTTGACTACAATTATATCCAAGTCTCACTCAGTGTTCTTTGGTAATAAATTATTATTCTATCTTATTTGTTTAATTCTTTTCTGAAAAAAAATTGTCTTACATAAGAATTAATTTTATATTACTGGCACATTACACAAGTGATTGGCTATGCAAAACAATTCTATGCACCAGTGAAAATAAAAAAAGTAAATGAGTGGTTTTATATTACAGGCTCACCAGAAAAAGATGCAGACGACAGACCACCTTCTATAGCAGGCCCAAGAGATAGAGCTCAATTACCTATAAAACCAAACTACTTTAAACCTAATGGTTTAAGAATGTCTGTGATCAACCCAAGACTCAGTGGATCTAGTATGTTCTTTATTTAACCTCATTAAATACATTCAGTGAAATTTACCATAAAAGAAAAGGATTGGTTCCAAATTTACAGGTACCAGTTCTCAAATAAAAAAAATGAAAAAGAAGAATAAGTATTTGCATTTAATATTGTTTCTGTTAACTTTAGGTCGTGATTCAGAGGATCTGGTAGCAACAGGGACCAACTGGATGCCCCTCCCATCAGAAAAACCCAGAACAACTCGCAGTGGCCAGTCTGTCAACAATGGTATCAGCAATGGCAGCTCTCAGGTTGCTGGACCCTTCCCACCAAAGCGCACAAATAGTCGATCTACAGCAAATCAGGGGTCCTCCACACAATACTCAGGAAGCAACAGAAAATCAAAAGATACAGGTTTGTTATTCGTTACCTATGTGTATTGTAAAATTCAGGATAAAGTAGGTACTTGAACTTCAGGCCTACAGTAAAATTGAAAGTGGTGATCAGGTTTTTTATTAGCAATAAAATTGATCCTCTTGTCTGTATCTCTGAAAATTGATAAATTGATGTGGCTTTCAACCAATCATTCAGAGGGGGGG